GGCTAAGAGCTCAGCCCTGCATCAAAGAGCATTGTCTGAACAAGAAATACTGTCTTGACACCTCTGGGGAGAAAAAAAAAAAGGGCTCCCATCCCGGCAGTGAGCTGGGCTCACCGTGCTGCCGGCCGGGTGCGGGGAGCTCTCACCAGGAGCAGCAAACAAGGAGGAGGGAGAACATCTCCTTTTCTTGGAAAGGATTTTTCGTTTCCCTTGTACAGGGGCTCCGCTCAGCCCAAAGGCTGCCCTCGAATCCCAGGGCAGCCGCAGGGCTGAGGATACCTCGCACTTTGGCCCCCCTGGATTCTCCTACCTGAAAGAAGGTGTGGGGGCAGCACGGGCGCCTCCCCAAGATGGGTGGGCTGGCAAAGGGCTGTGGGTTTTGTCTCTGTCTCCGGAAGGGATGAATCCATCCTTTCATTGCCAGATCACGCTGCGTCTTTAAAAATGCTTTTGGAAGAGCATCCCTGAAGCAACTCCATTTTTCTTCTTCCTTTAAAAACTTTGACTTCAGTTTTAATCATCCCTAAACCCACAATCCTTTGCACCTAAATGGGGGTATGAAGATATGGTTGGGTAGAGTTGTATTAGATGGGCTAAGAATGTAGGGGATAGGGTTTCTGTGCCCAAAAGATTGTCTGCTTTTTCCAGATTTAGTACCCAGTCTACAAAGAGAAATAGTTCTTCAGTACAAGTCTTGTAACTACATGTCATTCAGAAAAGTTTAGCTAACAATTAAACTAAACATCAAATTTGGCCGAATGTGTAATGAATAAATAAAGCCTTTTCCTTTCATCTACCCGTGCCAAAATCTACAAGCTCTATTAGCTGATGAAACAGTGCTGATGCCAAATAAAAATACCCCTGACCCATCAATATGGGCTAAGAGCTCAGCCCTGCATCAAAGAGCATTGTCTGAACAAGAAATACTGTCTTGACACCTCTGGGGAGAAAAAAAAAAAGGGCTCCCATCCCGGCAGTGAGCTGGGCTCCCGGTGCTGCCGGCCGGGTGCGGGGAGCTCTCACCAGGAGCAGCAAAACCACGAGGTGGTGGCCGTTGGCTCGCAGGCAGCCTGCTCCGGCCCCTCTCCTGCATGCCCCACCTTGCTAGAATGACTTGGAAACCTCTTGAGCTGCAAACCTGTTTGGAGCCAGGACTGTGGCTTTGGTGCATCATAAAATGTTTTGGGTTGGAAGGGACCCCTAGAGGTCATCTAGTCCAACCCCCCTGCAGGAGCAGGGACATCGGTAACTAGATCAGGTTGCTCAGAGCCCCGTCCAACCTGGCCTGGAATGTTTCCAGGGATGGGGCCTCCACCCCCTCTCTGGGCAACCTGTTCCAGTGTTTCACCACCCTCATTGTAAAGAATTTCTTCCTTATATCTAGTCTAAACTTACCCTGGCTTAGTTTAAAACCATTACCCCTTGTCCTGTTTGCTTGCTCCCCGCTGCCTGTCCCATCTGTAAATTGCCCACAAAACCTGCGCATTTTTTTTTATGATGTGTGTAAAAAGCCAGCGCTTGAAAGTGAAATTCTCAAAGGTCCCTGCTCAGTATCAAAGATGTGCTCCAGCATCTCGGAATATTTCAATACCCGGAGCACCCTGCCAGCTGTGCCATCCTCCTCCTCCCCAGGAGGGTGGGATGGTGAAGTAACGCCGCATCTCCCCTCTGCCCCACGCAGCCCGTGCAGCTTTGCTGTTCCCCAGCCGTGCCTGTCCTGCAAACCCCTCTTGTTTAACATCTGCATTTAGCTGCTCTGTGCCATGCCCTGGATGCGATCTTTGGAGTTTCACCCTTCCCTCGGCATCCTTAGTTAAGAGATCTGTTTCCCTATTAGTCTTCAGTCATGCTTTTAGATTCATTCAGGCTTTTATTTACTTATCCATCTGTCTTCCTGCTCCCACCACTCCCCCTGCCCTGCCAGAAGGGAAAGTACAACTCATTTTTCAGGTGACCCTGCCAGAAAGGCATTGACATGAATAGGAGAAGGTTCAGGAACTGTGGAAAAACAAAAACCCCCGACTTTAATAAGCAGCAAAATGCTTCCCAACCAGAAGGGAGCAGCCAGATGTGACTAGAATTGCTGTAAAACAGAAAAGACAGTCCTCCCAATAACTCCTGCGATCCCCCAGACACCTCCTTTTGCAGAACTCTCTCTGAGTGCTGCTCGAAGTTGTTAAAACCGTAGTGTGCGATCCTGCGGGCTGTGCGATGCCTCCTCGGCACCAGTACAGCCTCGGAGGAGACGCTCCCTGGGTGACAGGGTCCCGGGTGTCACCAGGGCTCTCCCCTTCTGCCTGCCTGCAGCGATGCCCTGCACGGGGACCTCATCCAGCTCCCTCTTGCCTGGCTGCCTTAAGCAAGGAGGGACGTTTGTGTGTCTTTAATTTTGATTTCAGTTGTCTGAGCGGTGCAGGTGTCCTGCTGGGCTGTGCTTAATTCTGAGTAACGTTAGTTTAACTGCACGGACAGTACCCTGCTGTTTTGAAAGACACCTAAGAAAGCAATATAGTCACAGTAAGAACTTCTCTGCTGGAAAGCCAGGCTCCTACGAGAACCCACCTGTTACATAAAAATAATTAAAACCTGAAGAGAAAGGATAACAGGACACCAAAAGGCATCCGAGCAGGCTGGCAGGCAAGGAGCTGCGCAGGGTTCATGCAAGCCACTAACCCTCCCCTCTCGCAGCAAGGGCTGGGGTGTGGAGGCTGTAACGATCGGTGGGCAGCGACATCGATTTTTGTCCAGCGCTTCCTCTGCGCCGGGGTAGCAGAACTCCGCTCACATCCCCTGCGGGCTCCGCTCGCCTCTCTCTGCATGTCAATAGGTGTCAAGTCACCACCCAGGGCCGGCGATGGAAAGGCCGTTTCTTGCTGATTCCACTTTTTACTGACCATAAGGGGATGCTGGGCAGTAAATGGCCACGTGTCATTCTCTGTGACAGAGGCCATGAAAATGTACCTTGATGGCCTCCCAGCACACACCGCTCAAGTCCTCAGGCTGGACTGAAGCCTGGGTCCCTCTGGCAGCCATCTCCAGCTCTGCGCACGGAGTGCTGGGTGGGCTCCTTGCTCCCCTCGGCAGGGCTGCTCTTCATCTCCTTCATCTTTAAAACTCTTTAATCCTCTGGAGAGGGTAGTGCTGGTGGAAGATTGGGGACAAAGGGCCATGAATACAGTGGGATTTCATAAACCTGTCCCCAAAATAGCTTGCAACATATTACTCTTGTTCTTAGCTTGATTCTTCATCAGGGAATTGCTCGGGGATGTTGCCGTGAACGCTGGGTTCTGTGTTGGGAGATGAATGCTGGGCCAGGCGCGCGCCCCGGGGTGAGGCAGGGACAGGAAGGTAAATCCATGTTTTGCATTTGTGTAACTCCCATTCACGGCTGTACGCTGTGTTTGCAAGTGTTACAGCACATGGCAGGCGTACGCTACGAGGAAATACTGCTGGTGCCCAGAATAGAAAGATTTTAGCTCGGTATTGACTGAATCAAGAGATGTAGAGAGCTGATTGCAGTTTGTGTCTCTTGCTTCCTTGGAGGTCAGTGGAACTGAAGTCTGGAGCATCCTCAGGCAGAAAGCTTTTGCAAATAGCTGCAGTGAATGTAGCAGAAAGCAATCCAGTCCTCACCTTTTAATCCTTCTGCAGCCAGTCAGATAAATGGCAATCCAGACTGACCTATCAATAGTTAACTGTTTTATTTGCCGCCTTTGACTTAATCTTTCTTTTCAAATGATCTTTTAAAAGGAAAAGCTGCTACTTATCGGGAATTAGTGAAAATATCTTGCCTGGTGCTAATGAGACCCCTTAGGCTGGGGAGAAGTGGGTAAATAAATAGCGGTGCCGTGTTCTGACGGTCATAAATGTTTGGCATCTCCTGGTATCGAAGCAGCATTTTTCTCTTGGATTTTCAAGAGTTGCCCTGAGCTGGTTGGGCCCAGGATATTTTCTACCTGTACGTGCATTTTCTTGGTGGGGAATGGAGGCATGGGATACCTGAGTCTGGGTAATGCTGGCAATAGAAATTGGGACTCCTGTCCCCTCTTCCACCGATTTAGAGGGAGGAGACCTTCCCTTCTCATTACAGGCAATGGGCTAGTATACTCCTTGTCCAGTGCTCACCCTGGTAGAAACCCTGTCAGCATGGACTGGCTTGGTCACCATGCCTTAAACGTGTGCTTGGACCACTGCAGGAGGACGTTTAGGAGGGGATGTTACAGCCATGCTGTTTTGCTCTTTGCTTTGACCCCCGAACTCCTTCCAACAATGTAAAGCCTTGTGAATTATAAATCAAACGTTCCTGCT